CCCAGGGTAGGCGTGGTGCCACCAACGTTCGGAGTAGCCAGGTGCATAAGGGTCGCTCACATCGCTGTAGAAACCATAGAAAGACATGGTGCCGCTTGTTGCTGACAAAGAAGAGGTGTGTACTGGTTGTACTGGGGACACTTCTTGTGGCAGTGTAATAAAACCTTGACACAACTGTAATCTGGAAACCACAAAGATGACTTCTTGGGACCTTGCTAGGGGCCTGGGAAATTCAATCTAAGTGTACTTGAATAAGGTAGCCTGTGTACAAGCTTTGGAATCTGTTTCCTGAATTGCCGTGGTGCTGGGAATTGGCTTGGATTTGTGAGATTTTGCCACTGTGGAGCCAGTCAACTTGGGTCCAATGAATCTCCCCACAAAAGCTTCCAGAATCCAAGCTGGTGTTGTCACTGACTAAACAAGGGATGGCGGATCCACTGGTAATAGTTTCAGCCAAGCGAATCGTTGTCTTGGGTGCCACGGAGCCCTTCGAGTTACTCCTTTCGGTGGGCTCCGTAAGATCGCGATTTCGTGGACGATTTCAATGACTCGACGGTGTAAACTCCTTAAAATGTGAGATCGCTTCCAGTTTACGGAGGCTGAGCCTGCTTTTGGAAAGGGAAAACTCGTCGCTTAAAGGTCACAGAACCGGTACGGAGGCTCCCCGATAAGTCTTCGAGGATCCAGGATCGAGTGAGAATTCTTTGTCGTTCCACTCGCTGACTCAGTGCACGTCGTATAAGTACCGTAATTTCACGGAACGCTCGAATCCTGCACGAGCAATTTGATTGGCTGAGCGGCTTTCGAAAAAGAACGTCAATACGTTCCGTGGATCGCCAAAGAGTTCCGGTACGTTCCGCGCGATCTTCTTCAACGTTCCGTGAAACGCTCAGGACAGAAACTCGTGACACTCGAAAACTGCACGGACGATCTGATTGGCCAAGAACGTTCCGTGAAGATCAATAAGAATCCAGAAAAGAGATAAGCCTCGGTCTTCACCAATAAATCACGTAAATCAATGGAGGATTGCAAAGCGATAAGCTGTAGTCGCCGTAATAAACAGTGGTTGCTTGGACGGACGTAAAAGCCTTGTTCGATTGCCAAAATAGGTGCAACCCAATAAGTCTTGGAGTCACTCGGAGACTCCAGGTGTTCGGTGTGCTTCTTCTTTCGAGTGAATTGGCTGATTTTGCGAACTCCGTGCTTCGTGCTAGCAAGCTAGTGGCTGTTGTCGTCAATGATGTTGTTGTCAAGATGGTAGCTTTTGTAGATCCTTTTTGATGGCAATGGGCTTTGTGTTGGAGTTGTAGATTGGTGTTTGGTCAATCTGAAAGCGCTTGTCACTGTGGTGAAGGTTGGAAGTATCAAAATTGACCAGAAGGTTGTGCAGATAAGACTTCAAGATGAGCCTTGAAATCACCACCAAATTCCAATGAAATCCAATGAATCCAACTGTAGCTGTAGTGTAGTTCGAAGAGATCCTTTTCTCGTCAAGGAGGTCTCTTCTTCCCTGAAGAACTGCCTGTAAATCTATGCTGACTGTTAATCCAATAAGTTTCTTGAAGGTTCAGTTCCAATACCCAAGTAGTGGACTGGATCTCGCTGAAACCCTTCCTCAGGTACAGCGGTAGTCAGGCAGTTCAGGGAGCCTTGTCGTGCCTCAGGAGTGTTCCAACACCTCCAGCAGGCACCAAACCAAGGACTTGGCCCTGTCAGTCAGACAGGAGGGCCAGCAGAGCTCTCTGCTGGACCCTTTGGGCCAGCTCACCTCAGGAGCTGGGAGCCTTCGTTATTCAATCGTGCAGTGGCAGTCTGGGAACAGTACTATCTGCTACCACCTACTGCTTCTGCCCGGCCTCAACAGGATTGGTATCAACTGCTGCGGTATCAAAGGGGCTACAAGCTAATCAGGATCGGTCTCAATCTTTCGTACTATTTTCTTAACTATGGTAGAAAGGACGATCCTTTCTTGCTGCTTTGCTGGAGATAAGCCAGCTGTGGGTGCTGGAGCTGTAGGCCAGCATAGCTGTTGGAGCTATCTCTGACGGGATCCAGAGCTCTCGCTCCTAAAAGTTATCGCAAGTGGTGTTAGCTCGCACAATTCCTGGGATGGTGCCACCACGGACCGTGAATTGTAGTACATGCCGTTTGAACTGTTGAAACCAGCCAAGTTGCGCATTGCATTCATTGGTAGCTTCGAGGAGTAGCTAGTGTCATAAACTCGCATATCCCACTGCCCCATCTGTCTCACTTCGTCTGCGCTGACTTCCATCAAATTCAAAATCTTGGTCCCTAGTCCACGGCCCAGGTGTAGCTGTTTGTTGAATGGAAGGCGCTTTTCCTTCAGACGTTTTTTCACGTGTTCTGCATATCCGTCGTTGCTCATTTCCTTGGTTTTGTCTGAGGCATTTACATCCACAAGAAACTTGACGTCGAACCAGCAGGTGTTATCCATCCATTGGGCAATTGTCATGTCTTTGAACTCTCCTGTTAGATAGAAGCGCACCATTAAATAGAATGCAATTGCTCCAATAGAACAGAGTCGCACGTCCTTATGCCTCGTTGCTCTGCCGTACTGCATCTTGCCGTGGGTTGTCTTCCCTACTGCAATTTGCATAATCATCAGGTACATGTGATGGACGTCCACATCTTTCTTGGGTGGTTTCAGACTGAAGAAGTCAGAAATCTCTGCTTTGTACAGTGATTCCCCCCTTAGAATTCCGCTTGTCAAGTACAGAAGACAAGACCGGTGCCGTAGATAGGTAGCGAGTGAACGATGGGCAGTGCATCGGCTGTCATTCCAGAAAGCCTCCTCCAGCTCTGGATACTTGTCGGCAATTTGGTAGGGCGCAAATGATCCATCCATTTTCTCAGCGTATTGTGCCCTTTTCAGAGCGGGTGCTCTTTCTTTTACATGCATCTGTAGCTGTTTCAGATCCTGCGTCCAGATGAATTCCCAAGCAACACCACAAACTTTGCGGCCAACTTGGTCTGTGTGGATGTTCCTCATCACAGTCTTGTATTGATTGAATGAGCAGGCACTGCGTGGATTGGTTGGTGTGGGGTATTGCAGGTTCAGATTGCCTCGGTCAAAGAAGATTCCACAAACTTTCTGGTAATCTTCCTGGTCAAATTTCGCCCCATTCATTCTCCTCTCTTTGTTGCCTCCTCTGGACTTCTTCTCTCTGAAAGCCTGATAGAACATAAATTTATACACTTTCTCCCATGTAATATTCTGCTTGAAAGGATCAGTAGAGTAGTTCCTGCTGCAGAAGTCTTCAAATTCGGCAATCTTGGGGTTGTAGGCACACTTTGTGTTGTCAGGGACAATGCGCTGTCTAGATTCTCTCACAAAATCTGACATTCCTGTCACTGCCAATGATTCATTCACATTCCTCAAGGAACGCCCACCGGTGGCTGTAGCTGCTGTCTCAGGGCGGTTGGCTTCTGCTTGAGCCGCCGCCGCGGCTGCACTAGCAGCAGTAGGACCGAAAGCTCTCCTGCTCATTGCTTGCACTTCTTGTTGTGTTGTGTTGTTTGGTGTTGTTTGTTTCACGGTGCAGCAGGAGGTACACTACTATCTTTTACGTGACGAGATTGGAGAGAGCCAAGTTGGTGAGTCGGCTTGCTCTTGGGCTCAGTCTAAAAACAAAAATCCCGAGCCTTTCTATTGGCATCTGGGTAAAATGGCGCGCACTCTAAGTCTCTATAATTAACCTTAAATCTGACGCCCAAAATATTGGGGTGATATTTCGCGCAGCCTGCGTGAGAAGTCATACTGGTTTGGGGGTTGTTTTTTAGGACTCAGCTAAAACTGAGGCCGATCATTTTAGGTACGACCAAAACACCTATTAATCTCTATGACCAAGCAACCTTCACTTTTGCCATAACAACAGGGGAGGATCCAACATCCCAGAAAAACCAATAGATGAGAATACCACCGCAGAAATGCCATGATAGTTTCTATACTAGATTACAGGTAGGTTTGTCGCTGCGACGTGGTCTAGCAGGATGGTCTTGACTCGGCTTCACAAGAAACATAACATAAAAGATACAATGCCGGTCGTTCCATCGATAGAAATAATATAATAACCTTGGTTCAATCAATCGACGTGATCGAAAACACTGATGGTACCAGCACTTTCTCACATATACTGTCCTTTCCATAACAAAGGATCAAAAAAGCCACCAAAACAAAGATGAAACATAGAGTATGAATTTCGAAGACTCTGGATACTTCCTCGGCGCGCTCGTTCTGTGGTATTTACACTCCTCACATGCGCATAGAAGCAGGGGCACCAGGCCCGCCCGTGTTGGGTCTTGAAGTAGCTGAATCGTTTGCTTGAATCCCAGCGTCGTCGCCGAAGTAACTGTAGCAACAACGGCAATTGGGATTGCGCAAATGGGCGCGGTACACAGTACACTGACGCCTGAACAAGTTCTGTAAGCCGGGCATTAACAAATGCTTCTCGAAGCTTGAAACAGGCGCGGGACTGGCATACATGATAGGCGATCCCTGAGGAAGACCGATGTGGCCCTTTCCACCGCCTGGTGTAGGTCCCATGGCTCTGCCCACACGAGGACCCGGAGGGCGTCCTCCTTCCTTCTTGCTCGTTGGCCGAATGGAATCACTTGGGTGGTGGTGAGGGCAAATGTCACCAAAGCGGCAAGCCCCAGATCGCATAATCGAAGGGCAGGGCTTGCACTTATAGCGTCTCGGGTGATAGATCATCTCTTCGTGAGAATGTGCAAACTCACAGTCAACCCCCTTAGGACACGAGTTGATAACAAAAAAGTTGGGGCCGATCCGTTTGTCGGCAGTCTTGACAACCGAAGGGCACATCTCGTCCGTGTAGTGATGCACATTGGGATCGCGACGGAGCCACCCGCCGTTAACTTCGACGTGAGCCATACCACAGAACTCGTGATCGTGATCATAGCGCTTGGCGCACCAGGTAGTGCGGAACTTGCCTGCTTCGGGAGGCGTCATGAGCCCCAAAACGTCGACCTTCCTTCCCGATCCATCCCCCGAGTCGACGGCCACAACGGGGATTCCAATGTTGCCCCAGATATGAGGAGTGCTTGCAGCTTCCTTTCCAAAGAAGATACGCCACTCGTGAGCCGTCAGCTGCAAGTTGGACGAATGAGCGCTGTCACGGATGAACTCGTTATGACAACGAAAGACGTCCTCGGCTGATCGTACGTTCTCGTTAAAGCATAGAAGCACTGCGCGCTTCGAGTCGCCGTCAAAAGTAGCTTCACCTTGAGCCTGATCTCGGTTAGGACTGCCTTGGCTCGGATGGCTCATCGGCTTCAGCGAAGGCGAGCCCTTCGGAGACGAATGGTTGCTTCGGGGTTGCTCTGACTTGCCATCCAGTTCTGCCGTCGACGCTTGAAGGACGACCTCTCGGTTAACCATCAAATCGTTCCAAGGGGCAGGCAAGAACCGCAACAGGAACGAGTCGTCGCTGACTTCTCCCTCAAAAGAAAGTCGGAACGTGTGTCCTTTTTCTTCGGTTCCATCAGGGCGCGGGATGATGTAGTGGAAGCAACTGTTCAGGATGATCTGCATGCAGCGGTTCACCTTCGTCCTTGTGATGGTGCCACATTCAATCTTGTCAGCGACACAGGCATGCACACCGGCTTGCAGTTGCTGTCTTGAAAAGTAGCCATGCTCGAGCGCCAACTCACGACCCACGAGCCAAGTGACCAAGGCCACGGCTCTGGATGTATCGGGTTCGTAAAGGCAGGCTTTCTTACGAAGAAGGGTCTTGAGTATTTCGGATGAGGAACGTGAGGAACCACCGCCCCCTCCGGAAGGACCCGCCCCAGAACCAGGCCCGCCTTGGTGGTGTGGCTGACCTCGGTGCGGGCTGGGGCCTTGCTGTTGACCCCGTCGCGGACGTTGGGGACTCACCGAAGGGTGTTGCGGATGGTGCGGAGGGTACCCAGGCCTGCGTACATAAGGGTTGAATCCCTGACGATGAGGTCCGTGCGGTGGGAGCCCCTCCTGTTGCGAGATGTGCCCTCTCGCTTGAAGCTGATCCCCGGGTCCCGCAAAGTGTCGAGGCGGCTGGTGCCAAGTACGCTCTGTCACTTGCTGCGGCTGCTGTTGGCCATGGTGCATACGATGTGGTTGTGTCGCTGGCATGTGGGCATACGGATGAATCCCACGTTGCTGCGAGTCGTGCCTTGCGGTCTCGTCGGCAGGGAAGCCGGCCACACGAGACTGAGTGGTATGTGGGGAACTCCAAGCAGTGTGCTGCTGCGGTTGTTGCTGGTGGTGATGGGCATACACCTGAGCCCTAATGTTAACTTGTTCGCCCACCTGTTGTTGCTGCTGCTGTTGCTGAGATGCCCAGTACTGTTGTTGCTGTTGTTGTTGCATGGCCGCATCTCGTGGCGTGTTCGAGGCGCTAATCTCTGTATCCGAGTACAAGCTCCTAGTGACGGGCGACCTGTCCCAAGAGGGAGCTCTCTGGTGCAGAGTGAATGGAGCTGGCTCGATGTGTGTTGGGTCCAGCTTGAGACCAATTTTGTCGATTGCGTCGGACCCCAAGGACGCGTCTTCCGTCGACGGCGCCGTAGAGACAGTCGAGGGAGTCCCAATGATGGTGGTGGTCTCTGGTCCTTCTTCCGAATCGTGCACTGGACCTGCAGCGGGAACAACCCTTGGTGAAGAAGCTGGGCTCAACATGGAAGCAGGGCTCAGCATGTCGTCGGCATCCCCGTCGTGAGAGAGGACGGCCGTTGACTGGACGGTGCTATCATCGCCATCTCGGTTCTTTCCTTCAGGTGTGGTGGTAGTGGATCGTGACATCTTGTTTTCTTCCAAAGCCCAAGATGCGTTCGTGACGTCTATATTATGGCCCATGCCCATGCTGACAGAAGGATGATGTTCCGAGGGGTTGGTCGAGCTCGTGTTGAAAGCAGCCAACGGGGGAGGCGGCGCTTCGAATGCAAGGATGTTTCTGGTAGAAGACAAGTTGTTCTGTTGTGGAGTTGTGCTGATGTTCATCGATGATAAGTGATCGTTGCTTTGTTGCTGGGTTTGAGGTGTAGTTGTTGATGTTCTGAGTGTCTCCTCGTTGTCGGGAGTCCCAGAACTCAATCGTGCGTCCCACAAGACCTCACGATTGCCACTTGGAATGAAAGGTTGACTCAGGCCGGAAAGGTCAAATGGAGGAGCTTGGTATTGATCGTTGGACAATTCAGGAGCTGTAGTAGTGTTGTAAATGTTGTACAATTGTTGATGGAGCGTCTGGTTCTGTTGACGTTCATCGTGATGTAAAGAATGCAAGTGATGATGAAGTGAGGGAGTGGTAGACGGATCATGATGTTGTTGAAAGGGCAAAGGAGAAGAACCAAACGCGCTGGTCGTGTCAACGCTAGTTCCATTCCGTGTCAAGTTGCTACTGAAATTGTCAGTAAGAACTGTACCGATGCTTTCCGAACTGTTACTCAGAAAATTCGCTGGCAGTGGTCTGTCAGCGTCCGTGTGACTCACGATTGAACTGTCCCCAGTTCCGTTTGACTCCGGCTGATTGGGAACAACCATGTCGAAGGCTATTCCCGCGTGTTGTTGTCCTTGTCCTTGTTGTTGTTCATGGAAAAACAACTGAATGGGCTCAAAGCCGCTCATCTTACGGTCATGGCTGCCGGTAGATGCATCGCTGCCGTCTTGGACCGGCCAAGCAGCGATACCTCCTTCGTCTCCTTTCGCCATGTGGAGTGACATGCACACTAACGAGAAATTCTCACTTGATGCTGATGTCACTCCGACCGCTGAGTGGCGTAGCGTTAGTCTACAGATAGATAACACCTAGGTTGCTATCTACTAGTATAGAAGTGCAACAAGGTTGCAAAGTTGTGGTGTGGGTGGTGTGGGCGGTGTGGGCTGCTTCCGTCAATGCTGCTGCCTCATTGCTGGCTGTGATGAACAGGAGGCGACGAAGTTTGCTGATGAGGAAGACTGCTTCTCTTCGCTCCCACTGGTTTTGATGGTTTTTCAAACAAAAGGAGGCCCTTCTCCTTTTAACGTCGGCCGGGCCTTATCAATTATTCGCCTCGAATAAAACATTTCCTTACACGTCACCAGTCACATCGCCAAGCACGCTCGTCATCCCCCATGTAAATGTCTCGTCGGCTGCTCGGTCGGAGATGACGACTTAAGCTCGTTCCATCTGCTTCAAGCAATGCTCTCGCCTCACAATTTGATCAATTTCCAGAACAACCCTTGCCTCCAAGGTCGATGCATTGATCACAATGCCTCTGAGCACCTCCAAAAATTCGTTTCTAGCATTCTCAGCAGTAGAGGTAAAACTACGGTAAAAAAGCGGTGCAAAATGGTCTAGAAATGGTGCAGAAACGAGCCTGTGAAAATATTTCAAAAATGGATCCAAAATAGCCACGGGGGTCGACATTACGTTTGTTTAGCTAGCTAGAACTACATACTATACCGTACCGGTATGCCAAATTAGCACGAGAACATACATGAAAGGCGCTGATGAAAAAGGCCCCAAAAGAGAATTTTGGGGCACAGTTTCCCCATGATGAGAATCGAGGCTAGACATCCGCAAACTCTTTGGTTTTCTTTTTAGTGTCTCCCTCCTCTTCATCGTCACTTTCAACATCCTCGGTGCGAGTTGCCCAACTCTTCTGGGCATCCATGGCTTCGTTGGCCAAACCTAAAAAAGGGAATAGTTAGAAATTTTCATCACGGAGTAATAATTTACAATCCGCAACTGAAATAGCGTACCATCGGCAACCTTGTTATCGTTGCGGTACACATGCTCATAGGTTATCATGGGAACATGAGCCATTTTCTTGAGTTTAACCAGCACATTATCAGCCTGCTTTTTATACGGCTTCAAGTGCGGGTGGTTACATTTGTATACGCCTTGGAGTTGCCGCACCACAAGCTGAGAGTCCCCTTGGATAACCACCTTGAGCCTTGGCTTGAGGTTCTCCGTCTTGACTCGGAATCTTTCCACATGCTCCACAAGCTGCTCCAATCCAACCAGAACCCCTTGCCATTCCGCCATGTTATTGGTAAAACCCGATTTTCCAAGGAATTTGCGGACGTGAATTTTAGTGCGGACCTTTTGGATACCATTCGTCGTGCGCTCCACCACAACGACCTCCGCCCCCGATCCAGCAACCCCAGGATTTCCTCGACTTCCCCCATCAAAGCTCAAGAGAACCGACCAAATACTGGGAATATCACCAGCATCAGACTTCTCGTGTTCTTCTATTCTGCGTCGCTTTTCCGCTGGTAAAGGAACATCGTAGCTCGAAGAAGTACGGACATCAGCAGTCACAACAGAATTCTCTTCCGATTGGATCGGTCGTTTCGGTGGATTTTTCACCGAAGCTTTTGCGGAGCTTTTTGGCTCGTTTTGAGAGTTGGACTCTTTAAAGACGCCAATAAACGCTTGTGCCTCTTCGAGTGTCGAGAATCCTTTGAATTTGGCATTCTTGTAACCATTCACCTGGTGGTGGAACAATATCAACCAAATTACGATCAAAAAGTGTGTTGAGATCATCAATTGCCCATCTCCGCAAAATCATCCAAATAGGTCCAGCTCGTCCACAGAACGTACCTGTGCCTTGCAAGCATCCCATGTCTCGAATATACCAATCTTCCTTCCGGCGGACACCGCGTAGAACTTCTTCTTGGCCATTGTGATGGTCGGAAAAAAGTAGAAATGCGGACTCGTCACCGAGGTCATGTGGGCGAATTAAAAATATTGGATCTTTTTGAGGAAGGTGGAGTAATTATTTTCCCAAACCCCCTGAACAATAAATGCAAGTGAGCGTCCACCACCAAAGTTGGAAGAGACGGACGAAGACACGAAGACACATCGCTGTTCATGAGATTGACAATGGCGTCCCAAGAACAACCAGACCGCACCATCTCTACCAACGTGATGACCTCGCAGGACCTATCCATGCCTAGGATGCTTTATGGCTGCGCTTGGAAAAAGGAAAAGACCAAAAAACTGGTTTTGAAGGCTCTTCGAAATGGATTTCGTGGATTCGATACCGCGGCCCAACCCAAACACTACTTTGAAGCTGGAGCGGGGGAAGCATTGGCAGAATTTTTGGCAGAACAAAACGACCTTAAAAGAGAGGATTTGTTTGTGCAAACCAAAGTGAATCGAAAACACGCAGCGACGCTAGTTGAAGTTTCCTCGGGTGACGAAAATAATGATTTTGGGGGTGATGACATTGGGGCTCAAGTAAAGGCATCAGTGTCGGCTTCCCTGGTGAACCTGCAAACAACCTATGTTGATTCCTTGTTGCTTCATTCTCCGTATTCCAAATTCAAGCATACTCTGGAGGCTTGGAAAGCTATGGAAGAAGCGGTGGATCAGGGTTACGCTAAACAAATAGGGATCAGCAATGTCAAGTCATTGGAAGAACTCCAACGATTACATGCATCCGCAAGAATTAAACCTGCTGTAGTCCAACAACGGTTTCATCGTAAAACAGGTTTTGAGCGAGAAATGAGGCAATGGTGCTTGCAAAACGGCGTTTACTTTCAATCCTTTTGGACCTTGACCGCCAACAGCAAAGAGGGCAAACCTGGAAAGGATGCGGTCCTTTCTCCAGAGGTACAGAATATGGCAAAGAAATACCTGGTTTCGCCTCAAGTTCTATTCTATCGGTGGGCCATGCATGACCAGGTTGTTTGCCCACTCAATGGTACCTCTTCCAAGGATCACATGAAGGAGGATCTAAAGGTATTCGAGATCGCCTTGTCGGAGGAGGACTTTCAGGTGATTTCTGCTGTAGTATACAGAGATCTATGAATGGCAACAATAGTGCCATGGAGGATGGAGGGATGACAATTACACTGTGTACTAGCTAGCTAGAGCTACGTATTTGTAATTGCCAACTCTGAACTCTGCCACCAGAAATCCGCAGATGCATTCTGGTCAGTCACGAACGTGAATCGAATCATATTGGTATCTTTGACAATGCCATCACGCCATCACCACACTCTCAGCACAAGCGACAATGATGAAGGCAACTGTCATTCCAACAAGAATGTTTCGAGCCATTCGCAGGGCCCGAAAGCCCTGCTACTGTGTTGCAAGAGGCCTGGCTTCGGTTACAGGCTCCGCTCAAATTGAGGCTTTAGTTACCGAACTGGAACAGGTGGATACTGCCGCACTTTGTGATGCTGACAAGACACTACTAGCGCAATTGGGCACGTACGCAGGAATTCGATTGCTCAAATCCAACGTGCGCCCCATCAACATCTCGGATGCTACTTCGAATCATGTGATGGTTGGCAGAGCACGTACTGTTCAATGCTCCGAAAGAAATGATTTCCTTGCCGTGCTGCACGGTCTGATGCTGTCTGAAAAAGGTGATGTGCTAATGGTTGATACCTGCAATTCGGATCGCGCGGTAGCAGGAGAACTATTCAGTTTGGAGGCAATACAAAGAGGGGTGAAAGGGATTGTCATTGACGGACCGATGCGGGACACTGTCCATGTGAGAGACCTTCCTGCTTCAATGGTTCGATGCTATTCCACCGCCGTCACACCATATTCCGGAACAACACAATCTCCTGGCATTTTGGATGTACCCATCACCTGTGGAGGTGTCACTGTGAATCCAGGTGACATTGTCATTGGTGACAACGATGGTTTGATAGTCGCGGATAAAGACACGCTGGAAACGCTTCTCCCCCAGGCAAAGATGATTTTGGACGCAGAGGAGAAGTTGAAAGATGGGATCTTGAGAGGCAAGAGCTTGGCTTGTCTCACCAGCTACGAGGAGCATATTGAAGCCCGCCTAGCTGGCCAAACGTCGTCGCTTGGTTTCAAAGTCTGAGCTAGTACTATCTGTACCCGCGAGGTATTACGCTGAAGACTGAGCACTGCGATCGGAGGGCCTCTGGACCGTACCCGTAGCTTTCAAAAGAGGAATCCAAGAAGCTGGGCAAACTAGCAAGTGGGATGAACAGCAAGTCAATCCAAACAAAGCACAGGGACTAAACTTAAAAATCCTCTGTCCAGCTGTCAAAGAAGGCAGCACGTAGCGTGTATCTATCTGGCTTTGGGGCGATGTTCTGGAAAGACCTTTTCTGCCTCTCGATCGTCGACCACCGGGATTTTGATCCCAGGATCTGGAGCAACCCCTCGAGAAGAACCGTGCAGCATTTGTACTAAACAGAATACTCCTCGGAGTTGTCCAGGTAATACACTGCGGGCGGCGGCGGCACTGGGGGCTTGGGTGGCGGTCGGTTCACTCGGGAATTTGTACTTGCACCATTCATGTGTCCATTTGCTGACTTCTTCTTTGGAGCACCCTTGACCGCTGGCATCTTTTTCGGGTCCAGAATTCGCGCAACTCGTCGAGTCTTCAAGATGACGCCAACGACATAAAGAAGCTTCCAAAAACCTCCAATCGCAACCAAAATCAGAATATCTCTAATGGTGTTGTCCACGGGTTCCGCAAGGGGCAAAATGAATGTGAAAGCTTCGATGATCTCTATGCCTGGAACGCCAGCTCCAGGAGTGGTTTCTTGGACGCAAACGGCAGAGGGAGTACCCAGTTCGCAGTTTTCAAATGTGACGTATACAAAAGCTTCGTACATGGCACTCCTCACGTAGTACGAATATGGCATCACGTGGTAGCCCCACGTCCATGGAATATAGAGATCATCAAAAGGGATCACAAATCCACCAAAGAGGAACGCGGCAACTACAACGGGAAGAAGGATGACAATGATTGAGCACAGCGGCAGTCAGTGTGATTGTCCACCCGCATAAGACGAAACCAGGAGGTTCGGAAACTTACACCAAAAGTTCATGAACTAGAATAAGGCACAGAGATACAGTATTGTAGAGGTAAGGTCTGGGCAGGCAACGATACAGCGCTGCTGGCTAGAACATGATCGAGGGCCATAACTCACCACAAGCATTCCAAGAATTGGGTCTTCGCACAAGAACAATGTGTTAGTCCCAGGCCTTCTCGACATAGGAACATCGCAGACGAACGGTGCTTACCATCCACCCAAACAGCCAAGCATTCAGCGACGGATTCAAAGACAAAAATCATAGCGGCATAAAGGAAGATCATCATCGGCATCGCCTCTATGGGAACATTCATGATTGCGAATGCCGGTACGCCAATGGCGAACACCGAGAACACCAGCATAAGCGGAGTTACCAAAATGGTCTTTGCGAGCACGTCTGTGCGCACGACGGCGAAGGAAGAAGGTGGTCAGGCAATGGTCGTATACATGTATAGTGGCGGTATGCCAATCCAGTGCAAGGAAACACGCGAGACAACTTACAGCTGAATCCTGAGACCATGCCATTCCTCGATTCTCGTACAATGGACTTGAACTCGTCATTGAGGGCATATACAGCGACCACACCCACTGCAAGCAACATACCATGGTAAGCGGGTTGGTCTGGTTCCGAGAGTCATGAACATTACCTTCCCGAAGAATGGGTACTTACTGTTGGTTGTTACGGCACAGAGCCAAATATTGATCCACATCTTGTCCAGTGTCTTGGTCTGATCATTAGGACGGGCATTCCAATATACAACTGCGAAGAAAACATTGCATAGAAGAAAGGCAATAGCCCGACCAATATACAGAATGGGGTCCCTCAAAACAAGGAGGGCGTGTCGCCGAAACATGACAAACATTTCAACGCATAGGTTGGTCCTCAGACCAGGCGCCACTCCCTCTTGATCAGTAGGGTCTCGACCAGACTGTTTGTTGCTTTGCTTATGCTGCTCCCATGTGTCCAATATGCCATCCACAGCAGCATCGTCACTGAAATCCTGGAAATACAGAAAAAGAAGCTATTAGTTATCGTGATAGATAGCAAACAACACACCGAGCCCTTTGAGCAGCAAGTGGCAAAACTCACCGCGTTGATTAGATCGAGGAAGAACTCGGCAGGATTTGTGTTGGGAGGACATGGAGCACCAATGCGGTCAAAGTAGGGGATGGCATCATGAGCTTCACCTGCAAATGCTTCTCTCCCTTTTGACATGATCATTACTTGATCAAATCCATTGTAGACCTTTGTACTTGGCTGATGGATCGTACACACAATAATCAATCGTTCATCCTTTGCCACTCGAACAATTTCTTGCATAATGTTGGCAGCAGATGCAGCATCCAGCCCCTGGCACAACCAAGAAAAACAAGTTGACGGAGATCGATGAGGCACAGATCATACATACTATATACGTATGTGAGAGAGCCCCTTAGGACCAGTCACTTACCGAAGTGGGTTCATCTAGAAAGATGAGCGTAGGTTGTTTGAGCAATGCCACAGCAATGGAAAGACGCCTCCTCTGTCCTCCACTCAAGCGGGCACATCTGGTTTTGGCACACACATCCAATCCCATTTTGGCAATAATGTCGTCTACAATGATTGGTACAGACTTTCCATCGGCCACTTCATACAACTGAGCTGCATACATCAGCGCTTCCCTACAAGTCAGGTACGGCCAGTGTTTGTCGTGTTGCTTCACGACATAGCAATGTCGTTTGAAGATTTGATCCGTCATGGGGACTCCGTTCAGTGTGACAGTTCCATAAGGACTTCCGTAGAATGCATCCAACGTAAGAGCACTAATGAGGGTAGTTTTCTGTGGCAAACATACATGGAAATAAACAGTGGAGTCGTCAGTAAATGTGGTGGGAAAACATGTAGCAAGGTTTGAGGCAACAATGCACTTACTCCAGCACCAGACGGTCCTATTTTCGTGACAATCACAATAACGACAACATTTCGGTGAGATGGGAAAGGCAAACAAGGAATCGCCCCTCTAGCTAGAATGTCCCAACTAACCCATGATTGCCAACACATCTGAAAATCATAATTTGGGATTGATTGAGCAAATGGGTGAAGATAATGGTTGGTGAGATGAGTTTCATCAAGTTCCATTCATTCCACTTGCAATAAATACAGTACTGTACGGATCACTTACGACCCCATTTGACTTTTCCTCCCACATCTCTGAGAATGTGTCTCTGGTTCTTTCCTCTCCCCACAACAAAGTTGACGTCCTGAAAGTTCAAAACCGAGGATTCCATGCCATACCGACGGGACGAATTTCCAATGTGGTTGGAACCAGCAATGTTGCTCGAACCATTTTGCTTCATCTTTTCGACTTTTTAGTGAAGCAGAAACGAAAACAGTGCCGCTGCTTGAGCTTCAATAAGATAAGGTATTGCTGAACACTTCCACTACAGAACTACTGGCATGCAGCTTCAGGCTGAAGAAGGAAAATCAATGACTCCTTATTTTTGCCTTTGGATCGAAGAACCAAAGGAAGGATGCTGTGCAGGAATAGGATACTGATAGATATCCCTTCTTACTTGGCCAGCAGTTTGTTAGGTGCTCTCAAGCGTTCAAGCGTTCAAGCTCTCTTTTCCTTCCACTGAATGGGAGTGCTTTCATTCGCGGCTGAGTTGGTGCGTCACGCTGCTAAAACCATACTCACACGGATGTACCGGTCACAGTGTGGTACCGTAGCACATGCTGTAAAGACTGCCGAATGGGCATTATCCAGGAACGGCGCTGACGCTCATTTATTTGGCATTTTGGGACACCTGGACTCAATCGTGTGAGAATGCCAAAATAAAGGAAATGAAAGATTTAACACATTTTTAGTCGATGACGCAAAAAGCAGAACTTTGCTTGGAGGCTTGGAGGGAGAGACGTCGTGGCGCACTTTTCATTCGCCTCAAAGCAATTTTGCATTGCGAGCTCAACCAAGTCAGCTTGCCGAGATCAAGTCGAAGTCGACGACTATCGAGACCATTCCAAGCGAGCTGACTTTTCGATCATCTGTCCTTCAGCCCTGCAACAACTGACAACAGTTGCGCTCGACTAGACTTGGATCTGTTGATCTCTGTAGATACCACATTTGGATTTAAAAGTTTTTAAACAAACTCAACGTGAACCATCATGTCGAGTAAACGAAGTGAGACGGCCGCGTTGGTCAAGAAGCAGAGATCCAATGCTGGTTCCAACGCTTCCAAGGGCTACTCGAGGCGCACTGCCAGCAGTGGCATGGAACAAAGTGTATTTCGGTTCAAGGATGTCAACTTTGTGGTAGGATCTGGAAAGAAACAGAGAAATCTACTGAGCGATATCACTGGAAAGGTCCGGTATGGACGTAAGTGTGACAACGGAATGTATAGACACTGGGTATATTCATTACGACTATCGTCTTACCTTTTTGATATATTTTCTTTCTCGTGCAGACGTCCTTGCCGTGATGGGTGAGTGTAGCTGTGATGGTGGTGAAAGGCTTGATTTGATTGCCCTCCATTAAAAAAAGTCTGACGGAATCGATTGTGCACATGAATCTTTCCCAAACCAACTTACTGAACAGGACCGTCTGGTGCCGGGGTAAGTGCTTCTTCTTTAGTGTGGAATCCATCCAACCTGCCGTCTTGCCTAATTATTTCGTCTTCACTGACTACAATTGATTTTCTTTGCCATGTTCTCCCGCCCAGAAAACGACTCTGATCAGCGCCCTCACATTGGATGCATTCTATGGAAAGCCATCTGGCAAAGTCACTTTGAATGGAGTCAAATTGACAGATTCTGTTTTCAAGCAACATTGCTATGTCATGAAACAGGTCAGTGAGGGAAGGAAATAATATTGCGTGGCGCTCCCGTCACAATGCGACATTGCAGTTAGTGTCACCATGTCGCTTACACATCCATCTACATTTTCCTGCATGATCCCACCAGCACGATAAACATTGGCCGTATCTGACTTGTCGGGAAACTCTTCAGTATGCTGCAGAACTCTACAATGTGTCAGCCAAAAAAGATATTCCCTTGGTGGTGGAGGAAATCATTCAAAAAATGGGTTTGTCAGTTTGTTCCGAAACTCGGTGTGCCAGGTTGAGTGGAGGCCAACAACGCCGCCTTTCGATTGGAGTTGCTCTCCTCAAGCAGGTACGTAATAAACAATGTCATTGTCGACAGCGCCCGCTTTGGTCGTCAACGGAAGGGACGGTTGGACTCATGTCCTCTTGTCACTGCTTGCTGCTGCCCATCGTGTAGCCAACGCTTCTCTTTCTCGATGAACCCACTTCGGTAAGTGATTGGTCTTCCTCTGTGCCCTCTCTCAACCGTACGGTGTGGCCCTAATCCTCTTCAACATTCTTCCTTTGCTTTTGCAGGGACTGGACGCAGCTGCTGCAGAGAATATCATGCAGGAGATTGTTCGTGTTGCCAAAGAGGAACGCTTGATCATCATGTGTTCTATTCACCAGCCTTCCACAAAGGTATACAACGGATTTGATGAGGTGATGATTCTATCCAAGGGACGCGAGGCCTTTTCGGGTCCAATCAAGACTGCACCAACTTACTTTGATAGTATTGGATACCCCATTCCAGAGCAAATGAACCCTGCTGGTATGTTTCACATTAGCTTGGCTCGGTTTGATGCATGCATGAGCACGCTAACCCTTCCATCTTCTCTCCGACTGACAACCAGAACATTTCCTAGACTTGGTCAACTCGGATTTCTCATCGCCGGAAGAGGTTGACCGAATCTTGAATGAATGGGAGGAAACTAATCCTAATCGTGCTGGTTCTGTGCATGGAACGGACAACGATGATGACGGCCAGAAAGGTATTGCTGCCGGGCTACACCGTAATCCTTGCACCGACATGATGATTATGTTTCGCAGACATGCACGGTTGATTGTTCGGGATCCAGGTATGACGCGATGGGAGGGATGGCTGCTCATGGGTTATCTATGCTTCGTTTTCGTTGGCTCAACCAACCACCACGTCTTTCTTTGAAAACGTCCAATGCCACAGTCCTTTACGTCGGACGTTGCATTATCATTCTGGTGACAAATGTAGTATTTGGGTTCGTCTACTGGAGCGCTAGAGTACAGGAGCAAGCCCAGGCTCCCAACAAGCACTTTATCAATATTTGGTTCGCTGGAGTTGCAACGAACAGTAAGTTCCTTTGTGCTTCGAGTACATAGAGGTTGTGTAGTAGAATGCGGTTTCTCACTATTCGATCTACCCCAATACAGTGGGAGTGGTGGCCGTGTATGCTCTAAATGATGAATTCAAGAGCATCCTTCGTGAGAGCAAGAACGGGATGGTCTCGCCAATGAGCTACGTGATTGCCAAGTCGGTGATGGTTCTGCCTGTCATCTACCTTACCAGCCTCTTTGCGCTGATCATTCCCGGCTTTGTGATTCAACAATTCCCTTGGTCTTCGATCGTGCCTGGGACATTGCTGTGGTCGGCGCTCTTCTTCTGCTTCGAAAATCTGGCGGAGTGTTTGGCAGTTTGGATTGACGATCCGATCATTGGGATGCTTCAGGTGAGCACCGTGGTTGATTTGAGTGGTGCTTTCGCAACCCGTGTGATGCTTCTCTGAACCATTGAATTGCCTCCAAAACTTGTAAATACTGTCTCTCCGCCCTATTCTAGTTTATGAACTTTTGGTGTAAGTCACGCAGCATGATATTGTTGGCATTTGGTGCTCGTGTCGTGCTGAAGCAACTCACTTGCCACTTGCTGTTTGTGATCGAAAGTCATGTGTTTTTTATTCAGCGGGAATTTCCTCAATTCAGAGATCATGTACTGGCCTTTTGAGCTCTTCTATCACATTCTTCCTTTTTCATACTATCTCCGCTCGGCGACCTATACCTACTTGCACGACATAGAATGGGATAAATGTGTGGGCGGCCCATCCGCTGGACAACCAATTTGCGTACCATCTGGTGATCCTACCGAGGTTCTCAATTCGATGACTTTCATCTACAGTGTCGTTGACGCCGAGGACCACTATTTGAGAGATATCATTGTCATTCTTGGTATTGCTGGAGTCTTCAAAATCGTTTACCTTATTGGCGTGTTCTACAAGACTCGGCGAGTGGCTGCCATCAAATAGATCAAACCAACTGCTTCATTCAGTCAATGAAAAGATACATGTATGTATCCAAGCATTCATATTCAATCTATTCATTCGGTGGGGCAGCTATCTCACTGGTCCTGGCTACTGGTACTACCGGTAGCTGGCTGCTGTGGCTGAATATTGCAGGACCCACTCACAAAGGGACCATCAATCCTCTTGGCGTCTTCCTTGTGCGGTGCGTACGGTATCTTACGTACCGTACCAGTACCGTACCGGTACGGTGCGATACCCGCTCTGCTTTCTCGCGACCATCAATCCTGCATGCATTCTGTAGGTTCTATGCATAGTATTAAAAATAGCGTACCGGTGTCAAGAAGCCACTGGTACCGTAAATACTTCGGAACAAGACATTTCTTCATTTCCCTGGTCATAGCTTTGGCTTCTGCAACTTTGCAACTTCCATTCTATTTATTTATTTATTCTCAATTCTCATCATCGTCCACTTTTGTTGTGCTCAATGCACTCGTCCCCTATCCGAGGAACTTGCCAATGGCTAACCTATTAACACATCATGACTTCTACCACATCCATGCCGCCTGTGGCTTGGTTGCTCTGCTACACTTTTTCTATCGATTACGCTTGATAGTTCTGGATGTTGAAAATGCTGGATTCGCGAGAAACCTTGGAGAAGATTTGGTTTCCATGGTGATCTTGGCGTTGCCCAATTTAACCAGCTACCTGTTTACCGTTGTCAACGTAAAGAAAGGCAACGATGGCTTTTCGATATGGAAAGAATACCGCGGCCATTCCTTTGTTTATGCTGCAAAGCTGTGGCTCGTCAATGCTATGCAGCTCTACGCAGAGCATTTTCAACCAGATGAAGGACTGCAATACGAGAGAGCTTATCGAGTTCTAGCGGAGTTTGGCACCATGTTGGGCCTACAATATGTCACACAACAATACCCGAAGCAAGAATCGACAATTCGCGGAATGTACAAGAGCCCATTTACTGTTTTCTTTGTAGGTTACCTGCAGTTCCTAGCGCGAGCGGGTGTGCTGTATGGAGCTCCTGATCCACGAGATAACATAACTGCTGTGTTTCTGGGTGTTATGATTGTTCAGATGAATGCGTTCAACATGACGTTGCGCAAGAAGCGCATTATTGGTCCCAAAACGACACAGGCATTCTATACAACCTTGTTGGGAGGTGCCTTGTACTTGCTCCTCTTAAGACGGCTCTGGGCCGAACCACCCACTGGAATATTTGATCCCCGGTTCAAAAACATCTATCTGGCTTTGCTTGCCTACAGCTGCCGAAGGCAAGGGTTTGATAGATTCTCATCTTGGATTATAGCACTCTCCGCCATGGCATTAATCGATCAGCATTTTGATCCATTCAAAGCAACACAAGGGCAGCAATAATGGATGCATTCGGTGGCACCGGAGTCCTCGCTGGATTCTAGAGACTGGATTCGTCACAGTCCTTGTTGGCTGAGTCGATTTTCCTGGAATGTCAGGGCTCCGACGACAAAAACGCTACCGGTACGGTCGTTGGTCTATTTTTCTGCGAGGCGGGAGAATAGACCCAACGACCTTGACGATCTGAAAAAAAGTGTAATTTACTTTGGTATCCCTTTTGACGCTTTAGAGTTGATAGGCCGATTCGTCGTCGTCGTCATCGTCATCCAGTATTGGTGGATCGAGATTCAAGTCCCCAAGACTTCCTGGGGCAGAAACACCTTTTCTCCTTGCGGTAGAGTCTCGTTTCCTTCGTTTCGGCAGCTGTTGTACGAGTCCTGCATTGATTGCTGCCAACAAGGTGCTACATTGTACTCGTTCAATGCCATGTTCCGTCGTTGTAATGAACCCTTTTCCGCTGCGCATTTTCCCGCTCTGTTGTTGCTTTCTGGTGTATGTCATTGGCGTGATTATGCGAAGGAACCCCATACGTTGAGCTTCCAGAATGCGCTTCTCCATGGCTGCAACCGGGCGAAGCTCGCCTAGCAATCCCACCTCCCCAACAAAGGCAGTATCCGAACGAACAGGTATGGACGCGAGACTGCTTACCAGTGCCACGGCAACGGTCAAATCGGACGAGCCGCCACCCTCGCGACCCCCAAGCCTCACAGACCCGACAACGTTGACGTACACATCTTGCCTGCCAAAGAACATGCCACATCGCTTCTGGAGTACTCGTAGCAAAAGCGCCAAGCGAGAATAAGCAATGCCATTGACATTTCTCTTGCTTCCACCCGTTGGGCCACTGCAGGAAGGCGTCACGAGAGCTTGAATCTCCACCGTCATGGCTCGTATTCCCTCGACAGCAACCGTAATGGCACATCCTTCTTGGTCATCTGTATTGAGACGATGTGCGAGCAAGAGGGAAGATGGATCGGACACTGGCAGCAAACGCCCCGCTGTCATTTCGTAGACACCCACATTGTCGGCGGCACCAAACCGATTCTTGCTGGTCCGCAACATTCTCAAATTCATCATTTCTCCGCCTCCCTCCAGACCTTCCAAATACGCCACGCAATCGACCTGGTGCTCGACCGTCCGAGGTCCCGCGACATCTCCACTTTTGGTAACATGTCCGACCAAGATAATGGGAATATTGGTGGATTTGGCAATTCGTAGCAAGAGCGCTACGGATTCTCGCATTTGCGTGACTCCACCCGCTGCCGATGCCCCTCCCGCTTCGCATATCATGGTTTGAATCGAATCAATGACCATCATGGATGGCGGGTTTGTCTTGTACAATGCGAGACTCTGATTGACGGCGGCAGCTTCCATGAGTGTCACCACCTGCTCTGCCAATGTATCCACATGGGTTTCACTGAGCAAGTACAAATTGTTGCTAGCAGTACTACAACCCAAGCGTTTGGCTCGTTCGGCAATTTGTTGCGCCGTTTCTTCGCCCGAAACATACCAGACAGGTCCATCTTGCAGATTGTTGGATGCGATACTGGCCGCCGTCTGCAGCAAGAGCGTGCTCTTTCCCACACCTGGAGATCCGCCCAACAAGCATAACGATCCCTTCATGATTCCACCGCCAAAAACAGTATTGAGTTCTTCGTCATCTGGAATGACTATTCTTTGGTTCTGTTTCTTGTTGTTGTCATTGCTATTGTCAAGGACATCATTGATGCGGACCGGTGGATTGACGAATAGGCCGGTTGGATCATTGGGAAAGCCTCTGTTGTTGTTGGTTCCTCCGATCCAGGACGACGATGGCCTCTTGTTGGTTGTCGTAAAGTCCTCCCCATTATTATTATTGTTTGCAAAATTTGATGAAGAGGAAAAGATGGGTCTCTCAAAGAGTGCCCGACTATTCGATGCCGCATTCGTTTTGCGCTCTCGTTGGACGGCAAATTCTTGTAGGGTATTCCATTCCTTGCAGGTGGGACATCGTCCATGCCATTTGACTGTTTCACAACCACAGTTGGTACAAACATGGACGGTTGCCTTGGAAGATCCCGAGGTTCCCATGGCCTTTCTCGTGGAAGGAGACGATCGTCCTCGATTGAGACCAAAGGAAACCACGTTTTTGGGAGGCTTGAATTGAGATACATCCACTTCTGGAGGAACATCATCATCATCATCGTCATCATCGTCGTCGTCATCCAAATCGCTGTCTTTCAGTCCAAGCAGCAATGACTGGCCAGTACTAGTACTGATACCATGGCTACCAACACGTGTCAAAGTATTAGTGTGACAGGGCGAGAATCCGTTCACAAAGAGTGGGTAGCTTAGCGGCAATAGAGCCACACCATAGCACAACAATAATGGAGAGAGGACCCTGTTGGCACGACGACTTGTAGTACTGATACATACATTAGAGCTGTGGTGGATTTGTCTACTACTAGACATGGTGGTTGGCATGTTGAGAACAATAGTCTAATGAAAGGGTTTGTGGAAGTGCATGTCTTTGGGTTTTTGTGTCTTTCTGTGGGAAGCCTGAAGGCGGAAGATCCACAGATCCAACAGTCTACGATAGCGTTAGGGGTTTCATCGGAAGTACCTACCCTCCATTCAACACCTCCTTGCAGCCGATGTCTACTATCATTTAGACCCCACCACCATCACCTCATCCACCCTCTTCGACTGGCACTCCCCATTTCAGTCCACCATCTCCACTGCATCCCACTCCTTCCTCTCCCAACTTGGCGCGGCCACCTCCCTCTCCCCTGTTTCCCAACACCTCCTGCATCTCCCTGTATCTGCCGGCGGCTTGGGCACACGCAACCACTCTGTCTCCTCCATCACAGCATTCCTTGTCTCCACCACCCGGAACCTCCGATATGCCACCAGCGGCATCAATGTCGGTCCCAACCACATTGCCTCCCTCCCCACCACCATGGCCCGCACCCTTGCATCCTGGCAGCGTCCATCTACAACTGTCCCCCTCTTCCAACTCTTCACCACCCTCCTGCCCCACTTCCTACCCCACTACCATTCCCTCCCGTCCCACCACTCTGATCCCCCCTCTCCCCCAGTACATTTGTCACTGATGGCAACCTCCAAGGCCTTGCCTCTGCCATCTACACTAAAACCACCCGCCTGCACCTCGACTCATTCCTCTCTACTGCCCCTGCCTCCACCACTACCATCTTCCCCTCCATTCTCTCCCACTACACTGCCATCCCCCTCCGGTCCTACAACCGCCGGTTCCCTCACAACAGGCTTTCCAATGACATCTTCCAGCTCCTCTACCAACGGAAACTCCGACTAGCCATCCTCCCCCCAGCCATCTCCAACCAACCTTGCCACCATTGCAAACGAGTTCTTTTAGACCCCTATGGTGACCATTTCCTTCAATGCACCCACTACAGCAAGAAACGGCTAAGTGATGGCATTCGTGACACTGTGTACCACGTCCTCACTCACCTTGCCCCCCTTGCTGGCATCACTCCGTCCAAGGACGGAGTCACCTGCGAAACCCAAGCCCTCCTCGACAACCAGGGCTACCCCAACCAACGCCCTGCCGATATTGGCATCTCCCTCAACTCCTCCTGCCTTCGACCTCCCCCTACCACTCCATCCTCTTTCCTCGCTATCGACATTACTGTTACCAGCCCTCCTGAATCCTCTTGTGCCCGGTCTGCCCACCAACCCAAAACCCTTTCCCAGGCCCATCTCAAGTCGATTCGAAGTAAGCTCACAACAAAATCTCGCACTGTCCCCACTGAATACTTTACTGCTCTCCAAAATGCAGGCATCATCCTGCTCCCCTTCACAGTGGACCCATTTCTTGGACTGGGACCCTTCGCCCATGCCCTTCTCTACGGCTCCGCTCGCCAACCATTCCCCCTCCCAGCACCCCCGTGGTCTGCCAAACTCCCCACCCACTCCCAACGCTCCTACAGCCAACTCCTTTCAGCCCCAACCGCCATTCTCCCCACTGCTGATACCCACTTTGTCACCCCCACCAACTACTCCATTGACACCCAACCCTACACACCTTCACGCTGGGCACACCAATCCCTTGCCCTCAATCTATCTACCCACTTAGCACAACACTTTCAACGCGCTATTACACGCCAAGCTCGATCCCTCTATTCCTCCGGCTCATCCCCATCCTCAGTCCTTGCCGGTCCATATGCCTACTTCACGCCCAGAACCCCTTGATCCCTTCCCCTACTTTTTACAAGCGGACGTTACCTAGTACCGTTCCTTTCACGTAATCCCCTTTATAGTTATTTATTTATTTATTTATTTATTTATTTATATTATATAGCGGGACGGATGTACGGATACCGGTACTGCGACTACGACTGCACGGGTACCACTATTGTTGGTTGCTTTGACCACATGATTCAAGACCGTTCCATCATTCAATCTGTTTCAAAGCAATGGCGACGTAAAATTCCTACCGCTAGTAGCTAGCTAGGAACAATTGTTGGGCTGTGCGCTTGCACCGTACGGTACGGTATCGGTACCGTACAGCCGCTAAAGTGCTCAAGACGGACCTCTACTCAGTATTGTCTGCCTTTGGACTCAGACGAATGAGGAACTAAACGACATACTCCGAGTACCGGTAGGTACAAAAGGCGTGGCTACACTCCTTGGGGGGAAAGCTTTTGGCGTCTCTGGCGTCAAAAGCAACGGAACAAAAAAAAAAGACTCAAGTACCTCCATTGCAGCCATCCACTGCACCTCTGCCCAACAAGTAGGGTTATGGCAGCAGGGAATGGTTGCATTATTCAATCATTCGAATCCGTGTGCTCCCCTCGAGCTCAGTTTAAGACGCGTTGTCCCTCTTCGTAAAACGTGCTTCTTCGAACACTTCCCAGCCTCGTGTTGACGCTGAAATTGACGCTTGAACGAGCTCTGCTTGTTACCCCTGATGTTTCCGTCCCCGATACATACTCTCTAGCCCGATCGCGTCATGAAATTGATTGACGTCAAGGAACACCACCAAGGGTATACCGTATGTTGACCGTTACATGTTCCGGTACAGTACCCCCTCTCTTATACCCGTAACGTCGTGAGGACGGCTGGAAGTCACCGGTATTCGGATGGCTCGCACCGGTCCCTTGTGGGCCAACCTCTCTGTCTGCTTCTTCTTTTCCGTCTGCGCTATGGGTGCTTTTTAGGTCTGCAAGCAGTCTTCTTAGCTCAAGGTCATCCAACCTCAACCATCGTCCTTGTGGCCTACCCCTTTCGCTTTTAAGCATCATACTCGAGTACATTATACCACTGGCTACGGCGAACATCAGCTCTTCTGCCCGTAGTGATACGAAGCGAGTGGTTTTCTCTATCGTACAAATACCCATGCAGGCATGCAGGCACAGCGGTCGTTTCACATCATATGTTTGGGCGCTGTGCAGCCACCACGCAAATTCGAATTAACGTTATTCCCGCTATTCGTAACATTGAAGCAGTGTTAAACAACTTGTTACGAGGTCACTGAGAGTCCATTAAATCTCTTGCTTCGAAGGGGTGGCATCGGAAAGGAATGAATAAGCACCCCTTCGAGGATTAATAGATTACTCGAAGTCACGGATGTTGCTTTCAGCAATTTTTGTGGCCGTTGCAGATCCATCCATATCTCACAAGTTTCGCATGACGAAAACAAAATGATGATCTTCAACAAGTCAATTTCTTACATGCTAGCTCTCTCCCCGTTGCTTGTTGGGACCTCAACGGCACAAGGATGCTTCAAGGGCACAGCTGCAACGGTTACCCAAGCTTGCGTTGACAACAGTGCCAACTGTTGCAATGGCGCGGAAGCTTGCTCTTGGCCCGACACCTTGGACATGACTGTGTGCTCAAACAGCTGCAATGGTGATGCTGCCTGTAAGATTACTAGTAGAACTGGTAAAGATGACCATGCTATTTCTGTTGCCAGTGGAAGCTGCATTGGCAAGAATGCATGCTTTGACCTGTCCAGGGGATACAATCTCAACCTTGGTGTTGACTCTAGTGTTGCTTCTTTCAGCTGCATCTCAGAGAGTGCCTGTCAGTACCTGTATGGCAATGTTGGAACCAACAGCTGTTTGAATGGAGAGAATGCTTGCGGAGGTGTTGGCCATGGTGTTGGAAATGACAGCTGCCATGGGTTCAATGTCTGCCTGAATGTCAAAAATGGAGTTGGCAGCAACACTTGCTTTGGGAGAAAAACCTGCCACTACTCTGTTGGGCCCTTTGGCAATGGCAGTTGTACTGATGGTGAATACTCTTGCCAGAAAGCCACTGGAGAAGTTGCCAACTGTGTTAGGGACTGCTCAAATAACTATTGTCCTGTTGATGAAGGCTCCTACAACCCACATGATGGAACCTGTCAATACTTCAATTCCGATCTCTTCTTGAATGGAGGTGATGACTCTGTCACTACCACAGTAGATGGATGCTTCCAGGGAACAGCTGATGGAGTTACAAAGGCCTGTTTTGCAGGAAACGCAGATTGCTGTGAGGGTGACGAAGCATGTGTTTGGCCAGATACACTTGATATGACTGTTTGTCCTGGCAGTTGCAATGGTGATGCAGCATGCAAGATTACAAGTAGAACTGACAAAGATGATCACTCTGTTGTCATTAAGGGTGGAAGCTGTCTTGGTGACAGTGCCTGCTATGACCTCTCCAGAGGATACAATCAGCAAATTGGTGTCAGTATGCAAGTTAAGAGTGGAAGTTGCCTTTCTGGGGCTGGTGTTGCAGCTTGCCGTGGTGCATATGGTGATATTGCAAAAAATAGCTGTGTGGGCAACCGGGCATGTACTAACCTTGGTGGAGGTGTTGGAAATGACAGTTGCCATGGAGAACAGCCTTGTATCCATGTAGCGAATGGTGTTGGGAGCCACAGCTGTTTAGGCCGGAAGACTTGTTTCTATGCTGAAGGCTCTATCGGAAATGGCAGCTGCCCAACAGGATATAGCTGCAATGGAGCAACAGGTGATATTGGTGACTGTGTTGCAACCTGTAACAAAGAAGCATGTCCTGAGGATGAAGGGAGGTATGATGCGCTTACTGGAACTTGTTCTGATTTGAGCACACCGGCAGCTTTTGCCAAAGGTGACCCACACATGAAAGTATGTCACAAGTTGCTTCTTCCAATCGTTTTGATGCTTCTCTCCTAACAATTCGACGTGTCTATGCCCTTACTAAAGACCTTTGGAGGAGAAATGTATGATTTCCATGGAGAGTGTGACCTTGTTCTCCTGCAAAACCCTGAGTTCAAATCCAAGCTTGGCATGGACATTCACATTCGAACCAAGATTACAGACTGGTGGTCCTCCATAGAGACTGCAGCTATCAAGCTAGGAGACGACACTTTGGAGATTCGTGCCAGCCCAAACAGTGATGAGTGGCTCTGGATCAATGGCACCCTGTTAGCAGATATTCCAGAAGGCCAATGGGGGCGAGCCAAACTGGCTGGGTTTTTGGTCCGCTACAAGCAATCCAGTCCAAAAGTCCGTGAAGCCATCATCTATTTGGAAGGGCACAAGGGGAAAATTGTGTTCAAGACCTTCAGCTCCTTTGTTCGTGTCGATGTAGACTGGAAGGATAGTGAGAACTATGATGGTTCCATGGGACTTCTTGGGAGCTATGACCACGATGGTGCTCGCATTGGACGCGGCGGAGAGGCCATTAAAGATGTCATTGAGTTTGGACAGGACTGGCAAGTGCTTGAAACTGAGCCTCAATTGTTCCATTCATATCAAGGTGCCGTGTTGCCCCCCAATAAATGCACGATGGCGCTTGACGATGAGGCAAAGGCTGCCCTTCGAGGACGTCGTCTTGCCGAGGGAATGTCCCATGCAAAAGCTGAAGCTGCCTGCAACCATTTGGAGGGTGCTGATGAGAAGGCAGCTTGCGTCTTTGATGTGCTTGCCACGCAAGACTTGAACATGGCCAGTGCTTGGTAGATTCCCTTCTTTCCGTTTCACTTTAGAAGGGTCCAGAAGAGACGAGAGAGTATCACGGTTTAGGAACATGTAACATTTTCATAACATTCAAATGCATCTTTAGGAATTCTGGCCGCTGGTCACGGTATACAGTTGCAACCAGGTAGTGGTGACCGGCCTTGAAAGAGGTGCTGATCCTTTCCAACCAAAAAGGTGCTGATCCTTTCCAACCACAACACAATGGCGGCGGCTTACAATCATGTCAACTCGTGAGTGGAGTGACGAGCAACAACTTTGGAAATCAGGTAGCTGCGGTAAATCAAATTTTGGATACAAACATGTAGAGTAAAGAATAACTTTAACCCTAACCTTACCGCATCTACCTGTCTAAACTGTCTCCAGACACAGTTGCAACCAGGAGGTGGCCACCAGCCTTGAAAGAGGTGCTGATCCTTTCCAACGTCAACACGATGGCGGCAGTTTTACAATCATGTCAAGTACATAGGATTGATACTCGTGGGTGGAGTGACGAGCAACATCGACTCTGCGTGCATTACTTATTGACTATGCATACATGTCCCGAGATGAGGTCCAGTCATTTGTCCAACGTTGACGAGCCCTCGCGGTTATTTGCCGATTGTGAGTGGAAGGTGGGAACAAGAGCTATTTAACTTAATACAGTGAAAGCGTCGTGGTCTACATGGATGTTGAGAGTATGTGCCCAGACTCCGGCGTGGTGATCCTCCTACGGTACGTCTGCTGGGGATGTCATTGAAAATGCAGTTGCCCTGCTGCTTCCCTGCTGGAACAAAGCTGACAAAAACAATTTAGCCCTCACATGGGCACCTCCTACCACAACCACACATGGAGGTGCTACAGGTAAAGTCATTGAACGCAATCTGACAGAAGGAACCAGGAAAAGTCCCTGAAATCTGGGTGTTGGAGATGTTGAACTCCCTCAACAAGACCAAGTTGTTGATCTCATCAGGTAGCGTTCCTTGTAGTTGGTTCCTGTCCATATTAAGACGATGCAAACTTGAGCACAATCCAAGCTCGCTTGGAACAGTTCCGGTGAGCTGGTTGCCAAACAACCAGAGCTCATCCAAGTTCGTCAAGAGGCCCATTTCCGTGTGGATTGGACCAGAAAGCCTGTTGCTATCCAGCGCAAGATGTCTGAGAGCCGGAGGAAGCCCAGTGGGTATTGTCGAGGTCAACCTGTTCGCGTTCAGCCTGAGGTCTGACAACATAGATAAGCTGGACAAATCTGGAATTGGTCCTCTCAACCGATTAGAATTCAAACTTATCGTTCTCAAGGATGTTCCCATGACACCTGGGATGAGCCCTTGAAGGCTGTTATTCTTCAGAGATAGTTCCAACAGCATCTGGAGATCTCCTACTTGTGTTGGGATCGATCCCGTTAGGAAATTGGAGTGCAAAGAAAGACTTCTAAGGGCTTTCAGCTGCCCAAAAGACGAAGGTATGCTTCTCCATAATTGATTCTGATTCAGGTACAGATGTATCAGGCCTGTGAGGCTGCCCATCTCCTCAGGAAGTGATCCCGACAACATGTTCCCGTCCAGGTAAAGTCGGTTCAATTTCGTTAGTTGGCCAATTGATGACGGAAGCGCACCACTTATCTGATTCCTCGACAGTACAAGGTCCGAAAGATCAATCATATCGCCGAGCTCAGGTGCTAATGTGCCGTTCAAACTGTTATCCTGTGCAGAGAACCTGCGAAGGCTGGTCAAAAGACCCATCTCACTTGGAATTTGACCTGAAAGCTGATTGTCGTCCAGAACAAGGCTAGTCAGATTATTCATGTTTCCGATTGTGTAGGGCATGGATCCTTTTAGCTCATTCCCTGACAAATCCACAACACCAACATTGGACAACAGGGAAAGCTCATTAGGAATGCTTCCTTCCAGCCTATTTCTCAAAAGCTTGATGGCCGTGACCACACCGCCAAAATAGTTGTCTTCTTCCCACATCCCCTCACACTCAATCACTCGTTCATCCCAGCTGCATTCATGCTGATCAAACGACAGCCACTGGCCTCCACGTGTCCACGCCTGGCCCTCGGTTGTGTAGTATAGTGTAGCCAGACTGAATCGCTGAAGCAGACGGGCATCAGAATATTCGATCAGGGATTGATGTTCCAGCATCCAACGGAACGCCTCCACTGGGGGTGACAGCGAAGCTGGGGCAGCTGTTTTGTTTCCTGAAACTTCCAATTGCTGGGAAACAGCAATCACCTCAGCAGTTTCCTCCGGAACAAGACTTAACAGATACGCTTCCATGTCGGTGTCTGGTGCTCGTGTTGGGAGAAATAGATCTACCTCACCTTCCTCATTCGTACTCTGCGCTTCAGGACCATCCGTTCCCCCCCCTCGAACAGCTAGTGGAATGGCAATGGCAAGAACGATCACCAAAAAGAGAAACACAACAACTGCTCCAATCATCATTGGGTTTTTCTTGCTGTCGGCGTTGTCTTTTACCGCGGTCTCAGCAGGATCATCCGATTCGCCTCCAGACCTAACCAGAGTAGCACCACCGGTTGTTGGCATTCCGCTAGTATCAACGGTACTTGGCTCTGCCTGTCCTTGTGCTGGACTCATATCCGACGATCCCAGAACATCCAATCTCACAGGTTCCAAAGCTTGATACTCGGCACCAGGCGCCCCAGAGTAGGCACCAGGAGCAACCGAACCTGCTGGCATCCTATCCTTGACCAAGGGTCTCCCAGTTTCGTTATCGTATTCAATATCATTGGGTGGGTTTGGAGCATCACCAGCAGTACCTGAAGGAACATTATCTTGTGATGTCACAGTACCATCGACGCTTCTTCGTGCGGCAATGGCCAGCAAATCGATGGCATCTCCCTTTTCGGAAACATAATCATCAGGATTTCCTTTGGCTTCCGTGGCAATAGCAGCCGTCTTGCTCTCGATGATCCTAGCTGTCAAGTCTGCCTCTTCTTTGTTGGCAGAAGCCGAACGTTGCGCGACAATTTGCATCAAGGCAGCTTCGTCCTTTTGCCGCTGGTCCTCTTCGACTGTTGCATGGCTGGTGGTGACAGCAGGTGCTTTCTTCCGCGTCGTGGCCACTTGTTGCCTGGGACGTGGAGGCGTAGGTTTGCTTTCTGCAGCTCTCCTTAATAATTCTTCTTGCTTGATATCTTCGGCAGTCTTGTTCGCATGACCCCTGTTGGCGGCCAAAGCTCGCTCCAAGACGAGTTGATCCACATTAAGGTCAGAGCCAGTGTTGGCGTGTTGGCCAGCGTTGGTTGGTGGTTGGGTAGTACGCGAGGTAGATGCCATGTTTCTGAGTGGCTTTGATGGGATGGACTCCATGGTGTGGACGAAATTCTTCTGGATTGTGGACGAAGCAAACAAGGGTGCCTCCAACAGAACAATGGGCACAATGGGATCTCTTTGCGGTAGAAACTTCAGATGCTCAGTTAGTTGATAAAGATGATCGCCTTCAACTACCTACAGCAGTGCTTCTTCTTTTCTTGTGGTACCTGGTACCCATTAGAGTAGTAAAAGTGTGTAACAATGAACCTTTTCACCCAGATTGTACCAGTCATTCTGTCGATTTGTGAGAAACAGTTGAAAGGTCGGGGCAGCGCGGAGTGTGGAGTCCGGAGTGAACTGGCAGACACAGACACAGACACAGACACGGGAAGTGGGACTGGCAAGGGTTTTGAGAAATCAGAGAGTTAAGGATTGATGATTGTTAAAGCTTCAGGTTTCGTTCCAGACAACCACCACATAATGCCCGTCACCACGAAGCTGTCGGACTGTCGGACCGATTAGTCATGTTTACTATAGCAAAAACAGTACTATACTAACTCTGTAGCGTGCAAGTACAAAACCTACACGGCTGTAGAAAGCCTACGTGCAAAGTACATACCTAGTGCACGTAGGCTTTCTACAAGGCTGTAGAAAGCCTACGTGCACTAGGTATGTAGCCCTCTATACGTTTGCACGTAGAGGTGCGCGCACAGCGCGACTGATGTCACTCGCATGACGTCAGTTGCGCGCATCGCGCACCCATTTTTAAAATAACGTATTTTTGCTTCCCACCCTTGTTTTAAGATACTTCGAAAGGGTACTTACCATACCTACATGTACTTGTACATAATCCCCTCTGGAGTGCATTTGACTGGTGACTTTTACGGTACCACAACTCAAAGAAACATGTGCAACTCTAGAGATGCCTTTATCCAGACTAGCTTAACCCTCCTCCTTCTCCCTCTGGAGCCCCTTCAACTAATCACTTTTACGGGTACCTCACCACGAAGCTGTCGGACCGATTAGTCATGTTTACTATAGCAAAAACAGTACTATACTAACTCTGTAGCGTGCAAGTACAAAACCTACACGGCTGTAGAAAGCCTACGTGCAAAGTACATACCTAGTGCACGTAGGCTTTCTACAAGGCTGTAGAAAGCCTACGTGCACTAGGTATGTAGCCCTCTACACGTTTGCACGTAGAGGTGCGCGCACAGCGCGACTGATGTCACTCGCATGACGTCAGTTGCGCGCATCGCGCACCCATTTTTAAATAACGTATTTTTGCTTCCCACCCTTGTTTTAAGATACTTCGAAAGGTACTTACCATACCTACATGTACTTGTACATAATCCCCTCTGGAGTGCATTTGACTGGTGACTTTTACGGGTACCACAACTCAAAGAACATGTGCAACTAGAGATGCCTTTATCCAGACTAGCTTAACCCTCCTCCTTCTCCCCTCTGGAGCCCCTTCAACTAATCACTTTTACGGGTACCTCACCACGAAGCTGTCGGACCGATTAGTCATGTTTACTATAGCAAAAACAGTACTATACTAACTCTGTAGCGTGCAAGTACAAAACCTACACGGCTGTAGAAAGCCTACGTGCAAAGTACATACTAGTGCACGTAGGCTTTCTACAAGGCTGTAGAAAGCCTACGTGCAATAGTATGTAGCCCTCTACACGTTTGCACGTAGAGGTCGCGCACAGCGCGACTGATGTCACTCGCATGACGTCAGTTGCGCGCATCGCGCACCCATTTTTAAAATAATGTATTTTTGCTTCCCACCCTGTTTTAAGATACTTCGAAAGGTACTACTACAGTACTCTACATGTACTTGTACAAATCCCTCTGGAGTGCATACTGTGACTTTTACGGGTACCACAACTCAAAGAAACATGTGCAACTCTAGAGATGCCTTTATCCAGACTAGCTTAACCCTCCTCCTTCTCCCCTCTGGAGCCCCTTCAACTAATCACTTTTACAGTACCACAACTCAAGAAACATGTGCAATAGATGCCTTTGCCAGACTAGCTTAACCCTCCTCCTTCTCCCCTCTGGAGCCCCTTCAACTAATCACTTTTACGGTACCACAACTCAAAGAAACATGTGCAACTAGACGCCTTTGTCCAGACTAGCTTAACCCTCCTCCTTCTCCCCTCTGGAGCCCCTTCAACTAATCACTTTACGGGTACCCCACGACAGAGACCTTGTCTTGATTCCCTCTACATCGTACCGGTACTATTAGAGCACCCCCCGTCCGAGTTTCCACGCCCCGCAGCGTGGAAACACTTGAACCCTGATGGGTCTCGCAACTATGACCCTAATTATGGTTGCCGAGAGGACCATCTCCACAATTTGCAAAATTAATTCCCGCGTCCTCACCTACAACTCAAATACATCTCTACATCTCGCAGGTATCACCTGCGTTCCGGAAATGGATACACCACATGATGATGCACCCCATCAGCTCCTCAATGCCTCTCGAACAAGATTACCCTTAGCAAGACGTCCGACACATGCGATCGGCAACCTGATACTAAAGACCACATGGACGACATCGGCCACATTCATAACTCCACCTGAAGGCAACTGACGCTCAAGACACAGACAACTAAAACGCCATACCGATACTGCCGATCGCGTTCTCTCCCTCCTCACTTCTTCATTCAGCCGACGCTGAAGCAAGAACCTAGATTAGATTAATCTCTTGCCCGGCATCAGGTTCGATGATCTTTCGATCCCTCACCATTGCCAGCTCTAATTTTTCGTCTCTCGTCTCTCGTGCAGCGGCATGGAGGTACATGCTCCAAACTACACTGATATCCTCACTTCTGTGGGCGGAGCCTCGAATGCAAATCGTGATGTTGCCTCTCGGCTATGAGCCAATTTTGCCTTCGTTCGCCTGTCACCTTTGGCTTTGTCCTCCAAAATGATAAACGAATATCTACATTGGCACTCACTCTACGCCCACCCCGTGAATCCGAGCCAGGTCTCTCCTTACGACAATCTCTACGCTATCTCGTGTGGGGGAACGATCTTCGAAGCGCTATCACGGTGGTCCTTCCCATGTCTGCGTTCTAGCGCACGGCTGACGTAACCTGCCACAACATGACAATTATTGACGGAGGAACGATGTTTGCCACCGCGCCGGCTCCTGTGCTACACAGTGGCCCCCACGGCGGTGGTGTCGCGGGCACTGATGTCTTCCGGGTCCGTTGTGTGATGCCTCTTCCGTCCCTATCTCTTGAAGCCGTCCTTGTGGCCCGTCCCGAAGGACAGTACAGTCTTCCCCAGTTCCGTTCGGAAGTCCTTACCCCCGAGATGACTCAAGCGGATCCTGCGCGACAGGCTGCCATCCCCCTTTGGTCCAATGGTCCGCGCCTGTTGCACGTTGGTCGCGGGAGTTCACACGTCCACTAGTAATGCTGCTGCTAACGGGCCGCGCCCATCAGCGCTAACGCCTCCAACGAAGCACAAACCGGTACTCTCCCCCTACATGGCGGCGCTTTGCGCGGTAGGTCCGGGCCTGACAACGCAACCTTCAACGCGGAATCACGAACCTACGGTATCGTGGGGGCCACTGTGAACAACAACTCCAGTATGACCTGAGAAGAGCAACCAAACCTTCACGGATAAATCGGGGTCGCCCTAGCCACTCGCGTCCACAACCTCTGCAACGTGGCTGATGACGCAAACCTTCCCGTTATTCACCGTCTGCTCGCGAGTCCCCCAAGGGGGATGAACACGGGATCTTGCAAGCTAACTAGACGAACGCACTCAGGCTTCGGCACCACCCATCAACCTCGCGAACACACCCATACAAGAGAAGTCCATGGGACAGTCCTGAGGTCTGCAACCAAAAAGCCAAGCAAAACAGGAGGGAGCGTAGCGTGGTGGGAGAAGTTACCCCTGTCCAGGTGGAGGCGATGACAGGGGGCCGAGGACTAGGGTAGGTTAGTCCTCGTAGATTTCTTCGTGGAGAAGAATCTCGTTGAAGTGTTTGGGCGCTTGCGCCGGGAGGGCGAATCGTAGTGCCTTCCCGCGAGTGTATCCCCCATGGTCACATCTGTTGGAGTAGTGGTGGGTGGCGGCAGGGGCTTGGATGCGGAGGTAGCGGAGCGTGGCGTCGGACTTCCAGCGTCCGAGAAGGCGGATGGCACCCGAGTCCACATGGGCGCAGAGAAGGGCTGTGGCACCACCAGGACGGAGGGAGCGGCCAGAGACCTTGTCAGGGTTGATGCCGGTGTCGTGGGAGATGAGGGGCGCAGCGTGGCGGAGGGAGTTGGTGATGAACTGGGTCTTCACAGGATACCACCGGTTGCGGGCCGCATTGAAGTGGTTGAAGAAGGGAGTATCGGCGTCGGCGCCGGTGGTACGGAGGTGGTAGACCACACGCGCGAGGACTTCACCGGCAGAAGCCACAGATCAAAGGTTGGCGGTGGCCACGGACTCGCCGCGGACAGCATTCTTTTGGTCAGTGAACGTAGACGTGGCATCGGTGAGGCGCGCGTGGTTTTTCACGTCATTCAAAGAGATGGTGTCGTCGCGGACTTGGAGGCCGCCGCGGACAGTGAAGGAGACATCACAGAGGCAAAAGGCTTGGCTTCGGGATTCAAGGTTCCCGGTGTCCAGGTATTCCGCAGGGCGTAGGAGCCAGAAGAAAGCCAGGATGCAGAGGTCGCGGACGTGGCGGTTGAGGGTCCCCCAATTGGCGTCGTCGTAGTCCATGGCATCGAGCATAGCTCGGAGGATGGAGAGTTTGACGGGGTAGGCGCGGTCAGGGGGTCCACCTTCATCCCTGAGTCCTTTAAGGAAAGCAGCGAGTATTGGATGTTTGTGGTCGGATCCAGCTTGAGCTTCGGAGAATCCCGGTGACCCAGGTCGGTGATCCCCTTCCCGACGGCAAGAAAGGGCCTTGTCCACTGAGTCATCTCGGACATTGTTAGACTCGCGGTAAAGGTTTCCGAAGACGAGGAGTTAGCAGGCTTGGACCTCTTGGTCAGGTATATCACAGAGGAATGGGTTGACGCCGAGGCCTGCGCAGAAGT